CTCCGCTGTGCAGAGGAAGCCCCGCAGGGCCCTGGCATGGGCCACGCCAACTTCCTGTTGGGCCTGTGGTCCCGGGCGGTTTGCTGTGCAGCAGAGCAGTGACTTCACCTTCCACCACAGACACACGGAACATGGTCCCGACTGGCATTCCGGTTCAGGAGCAGGTACCAGGGCGCTTTGGGGATTGTGCCTCCCAGGATGGGTTTGTGTCTGCTCCCTGGCAAGGCTTGGGTGCCCCCGCGTGTCCGAGACCCATGCCCATCCCCCATAGGATGGACACAGCCCGGAGGGAAGCTGCTCCTGCAGACGCCCTGCCCGACCCAGGCCTCTTGTGGCCCTGTGTGGCTTCCTGTCCAACCTACTAGGACCGCAGCAGACACACACACACACACACACACCAAGCCACTGCTCAGGGGCCAGGCACAGTGGCACTGCACCACAGAGGTGTCTGCCTGTGACAGTTCTCCATGGATCTGCTTTCAACCCTGGGCCAAGAGGGAGAGACACAGGGTGATCAAGACCCCTGCAGGGCCACCCCTGTCCCTCCATGGGAGAGAGGGTGGCAGGCAGATGGCAGAGAGCTGCTGAGCAGTCCCCGGTGGCTCCCGGAGTGGCCTGCCCATTTGTCTGCTCCCAGGACCTGGCCGGGGACCTCCAGTCTCTGAATGGAGAGAGCAAGGGCCTCTCTTGACAGCAACCATTTCTCATCCCGGGTCTCCCCTCTGCCCCTGGGGCTGAGCGCGGGGCAGGGGCAGAGGGTGGAGGGCCCCTCACACCTCCTCCACTGCAGCTCCACCCTGAAGGACAGTCAGCCTACAGCGCCCGGCGCCACAGTGTGTGCACCCCGCCATCGCTCTGCAAGGAGAGGGCCGGGATCTCCTGGTGGACATGGCTTCCTCCCTCCCTGCCTTGCTCTGTCCCTCACTTCCCCCCAGCAGGATATGGGTGTGGGGTGTGGGTGTGGTGGGGGAAGCGGGGAGCAGGCTGCTCATCCGCCATCCACGTGGGGAGGCGCGGTGCCACAGGTGCATTGAGCAATGACAGAAGCGGGGGCCGTGTGGCCTGAGCATGTGGTCATGGGGGTCCCAGAGCTGGGGAGCACCTGCTACCTCCAGCCCAGAGGGGGCTGTGGGCAAGAACCCCGCAGCTCACCCCAAGTTGCCACAGTACACAGACTGCGGCACAGTGCTGGGGTCCCTCTGCCGGGTGCCGGGTGACCCCAGCACGGCACCACACATTGCCACCTGTGGTGGCCAGGGGCAGAGAGCCCTGCACCTGGATGCCCTGGGACCCAGCTCCTCAGACGATGTCCTGGACCTTCTCTGAGTTACGAGAACAATCCTGGGAGGACAAACATGGGGGCCGGAAGCTGCTGAGCCGTTAGTCCCCTCCTCCAGGACAGGATGCTGAGACAGCTGGGGTCTGAGCCCCCGTTCCCTCTCAGGGAGGAAAGAGGGGGCTCCTAAGCCTGGGGCCTTGGCCCCTGACCCAGCCAATAAGCCCAGGCCAAGAGCAGCAGGGCTCCCGCTCCAGCGGGCAGGTGTGCGAGTCAGGTGCGGGTCTGGGGGGCTCTTGTTGTGTAGGGAAGGCATGTGAACATTGTGCTGGGAAAGCTGGCGGCAATTAATGTGGCGTTAATCAGATGTGAATGTGAACTGTCCTTGCAACAGGCTGGACGTGGGGCTAGACCTGGGGTTCTGTGCGGGGTTGCTGTGTAGGTTGTTAACAGGAAACCGGCATCTGGATGTTGCTTTGACAAGGTTAGGTTGAGGATTTTAGTTGATGATCGTTCTAAACATCTTTTATGAGGCACCGATGAGATGTGTTATCAAATGCTCCCTCCAGTGGTCTTGATGTTGAGCTCTGTGGTTGGGTCCAGATGCTTCTTCCGTTGCCTGAATCATGTGACATCCATGCTGTTTAGTGTCAGATTAGCAGGCCCCAGGCTCAGGCCTCAGGAGTTTTGAGGTTTTTCCAGGACAGAGACAGGGACCTGGACATGACCTAAGGCCCTGGTTACCTCTCCACTCTTCTTCTTCCCCACCCTCCAGCCTGCACCCGGGCAAGCTCTGGGAGGTGCTGACGGGGACTGGGCTGAGCGCCCTTCTAGCAGCCCTCTGCTCGTTGCCCATGAGCAGAACTGACCTGGTACACCCAGCTCCAGCAAGCGCCCAGCTCATGGGCGGAGTGGGCTCCGTCAGAGGGGCCCCTGACCTCCCCAGGGAGGAAGGGCGTGTCGCACAAGCGCCATTCCGTGACTTGTGGTTTCCAGCGGTTACACCTCTTCCTGTCCCTCCATGAGGCCTGCTGTCAGCACGGTGGTTCCTCCAGCCTTGGCCATGCGACTGTCACAGCAGACACTTCAGGGGCCTGGCAGGGTGGTTTCCCAGCACTGAGAGGCACTGTGTTCACTGAGGACCTCAGCTCCACCAGCGCAAGAGGGAGTCCCCACCCCGAGCCCTGAGGCTTTCCAAGAGCCAGCTGGAGGCCTGCCCAGAAGTGAGGAGCCTCTTCCTCCTGTCCCTCGGTCCTCATCACTAAGTGTCACCTTGCACTGGGGCTTCTCTGGGCTCCGGGACACACATCAGCGAACAGAGACAAGGCTCCGTGCCTAGCAGAGCAGACGCCCCCATGCTCACAGGAAAAGTGACAGGGGTCAACGTGAGGAACTGTCCATCACTGATGCTGCAGAGGCCACCCTTCAAGATGGCCTCCTGGTGCCCGCCTCCCAGGGACCCCTCCCTCTTGGTCCTAGGGCTGGCCTGTTTTCAGCCATGGGTCCTGGTCACATGGCAATCGATAGTGCATACAAGGTCCTTACTCTGAAGTCCTCCGTGGCCTAGGGATTGGCCTTTGGTGATTTTGAGTTTCCAGGACAATTCAGAATTGGGATGCAGCCACAGAGAGCCCAAAACCCAGAGAGGCCACCGTGACACCAGAGCAGGGTGGTCATTCCTGTGTGTGGCCGGTCACGTTTACAAAAGATTAGCCTTTTTCTGGGAAAGCGGAAGGGAGAGCAAGTTTTCTGACAGGAAGCCGAGAGCAAGGAGAGCAGATGTCAGAGCAAGGATCCAAAGAGAGAGCTTCTGGAGAGCGAGACAGCGCCGTGAGGCACCTGTGCCTTCTGAGAGGCACACGGTCCAGGAAGGAGGCGCGCCCAGGCCTGGGCCAGAGCCCCCATCCAGCTCCTGTGGCCCCTGCTGCGCGCTCTCCCCACCCGTCGGC